CACACTTAGCATAAAATAGCCCTATTATCTTTCGGTAATATGAATATCAGAGCAAAAGGGTGCACGCGACGCTTCGAAAAAGAGACTACAGGGAACGCGACCGCTTTATTGGACGGTTTCTATACACTGAAAGACATGTCGGGGGTTCGTGGCAGGGCGAAAGCCCACGGCCATCCCACCGCAGGTATCCACGGTTTAATGCTTTCGTTTCTAAGGTTGTAAATTTATTGGGCCCGCAACCTCGGACTTTGTATCCGGACGGCCCTTTTGACGAACGATGATCAACGATAAATTGTGACTTTACAAACCTGCCGAGTGGCGTTATTTAAACGCGGTGGCCGTCTATTCGAGGCTGACCATTCGCAGATTACGCTGCTATAAAATAATGAACATAAAACACGCGGCGGATCGACGTGGCACCGACTCGGCTCTCTCCGCGCGGCGCACAATTAAGTGATCACTCTTTTTTGAACATATTTTTATTAGCTGCTCGCAAGTTTTTCGAGGACTCGCCCCGTGAATTTCGATAAAGACGCTGCTCGCCGGGAGATAACCGTCTCTAACGAGAATCGCACGCTTGTTCCTTTTTAAATTGAAACTCGACTGGAAGGGTTACGCAAGAAAGCATATTATCCGACGAATTAGAATGTATTTAACGAGTAAAGCAATTAAGCTGAAGGCGCTTACGCGGCTCGATTGATTTGTTATGTACTTCGGAGTGTTCATAACTACACAGACATTCGCTTTTAGTTACAGTGTTCTGTCGGGTCTAAAGTGAAATTAGGAGGTTTGTTAATTCCGTAGTTATACTTGTAAGAGTGTCAAAGTGATTTCTTACCAGTCCCAAAGAAACGACACTCGTAAATTATTCCGTGACTTTAATCTATAATTGAGGAAAGTACAACAATTTACACGTGATACCTGTTTATTTGCATTTGTTGTATCTTATAGTTTTTCTACAATATAAATTCTTCTATATATATATATATATATATATATATATATATATTTATTTGTAAATCTCCAGGTATTTATTAGTTTCAAAGTTCTATAGCTTGAAGTTGCATTTGCTCATTAGGGAAGAGGTCTCTTCGCCATGCGAGACTCATAGCCGAACAATTTCGTCGGATAGGACGGCGGTCGGCGAGCAGAGATGGCGATCGAAAATAAACGAGCGGCCATCGTGCGAGCGGAGTCGCGGGGAACCTATTAAGATATCGTGGGCTGGACCTAAAAAATCTCGAGGCGGCCTGGACCGAACCAATCGCCGGAATTAACATTAAAATCGGCGCGAGAGCTACTCCTTCGAAATTCCCGCTCCGATCGTATCTCTCTCCCCTTCCCTTTCGTTCTTTTCCTCTCTACTCTCTCTCTTTTTCGCCGTCTGCCCATTAATTAAAGTATTTCATGTCACGTGGCGGTCTAGCACAAAGGACAATTAATATATTTGACATTTTTATCGTTCGCTTTGGATACGGTCGGCCGGCGAGAAAGGGTTGTGTCGGGGAAACGAATATGGCGAACGTGTTTTCGGGAAATTTACGGAGTCCAATTAAAAACCTGTGGCCGTACAGATATACTTCAACAGAGAACACAACATTCTTTAATCATCGTTCTCCGAATTATTGAAAAATTCTATGGAAACGTCTAAAGAACGAACGTCACCGAAACGTTCCAGTTGCTCTTTCTTGGATCGTTAGATGATTACGGATAAGAGAGTATCTAAATAAAGGACAAAAACGAGATGCTTCCAACGTGTTGTTTTTAAATTGTCGAGAGAGAAGCTGATGGCTTCGGATTTGTCTTCGAAGAGGATCAAAGTTCCGGTAGACGGACGGAAGACTTCGGCAGGCAATAATAAGAGGTTCTTCCAGAGGAAGGCACGGATGAAGATATTGAGCCTTGATGGGCTAAAATGTCGGCGGAACGACGAAGACATAAACTCGATGCACATCGGCAGCGAGCAGTTTCTGGCCTGGCGAGCGCAACGCGCCTTTACAGGTGAAGGAGTCATTACAAGATACTCGGGCAAACAATAACGGCCGCCATAGAGCGCCGGCCGGGAACCTTTGCCCGCGAGATTTGACTAAACTCATCCCGACAATGATGCTTCCAACAATAACTACTCATTGCTACTTCGAACTTCGATGAAACATAAGAGTTGATGTGTCCTTGTCTTTTTCACCTTACTGTAACGTAGAAAGAAAAATTCTTAAGATAATTAACACTAGAACCACACCGAGGACCTAAACTGTTTTTAGAAAATCTATAATAATCTACTAAGCTTCCAATTAATCTATATTTCAATTTCAAATCAACTTATTTAATAATCTCTCAAAGAAGCACCTGCGCCTTTTCAGCAATGGTAACAGAAGAAATCAAGAATGAATGATTTTGAGCAATCCAGTGGTTCTAGCGTTAAGAAAAACAGCTTTAAGGTTCCTCCAGTTAGTTATAAACACGATTGTTGCAAGAAAACGTGATCCAAATGCATTAGCAGGGACTCCGTTTGTGGGTGGAGTCCAAGTAAAACGAGAAACCAATCGATTCCCGCGAAAGCGAAACGATCCGCAGGAAGAAGTCGGTTGTCGGAACGCCGGTGCCGCGGTGCGGTGGCAGAAAATAAATAATTGAATCTCGTGTAAATCGCGTCACGTGGATAAAGACAATAGGCGATCTCTAATAAACGTCGGCGCGTTTCGCGGAATGCTCAAACGTCCGCTGGAAGCGTTCCGCAAACGATCGTGCCGGGTATTTTTACGAGCGGTCGCGCTTTCGCTCCGATTCGCCACGATACCGATGATGATTGCTGGACGGTGACGACGGGGATGATGACGACGATGATGATAGGAGGTAATGAGCGGCCTCGGCACCGCCGCGAGAAAGCGCTCTTCGTTCCGGCGACGTCCGGAGACGGGCTTAAACGTTTCCGAGAGACGGAAGCGGGTTCAATCAATGGCCGAAGGGGCTTTTCCCTCGTATTTTGCGGAGCCGCGGTAATAGGCAACGAAATAAAAGCTAGTGACTCAATCAGCCGGCGTTCTGCTCCGCGACTTCTGCGCCCTTCGCTCGGGCTCCTCGCGCGCAATCAACCGCCTGGGGATCCGCGATCGTGGAGGTCGCGGCTGGTGGGGCCTGAAACGTTCCGTTTCCTGAATGGCTAGGTGAGTTTAGAAGAGCTGAAGAGCTAGAGAGAAATTTGAAGGATTTCGGAATCCTTCGGCTGGAGTCGGGGAAACTTTCAGAGCCCTTTCCATGTTTGGAAGCAAACGTTGAGATGAGTTTCTATCAGAGGATCTATAGGAATAAGAAACTATATAATATCAGTTCCATCGATGGACCATAATTAAAAGGAAATATCATTCTCATCTTCCCAGATGTCTACTTATACCTAATGGCATTGCGTTACACATAAATCATGCTTCGTCTTAACATAAATCGAATGTCTAGTTCTCACTAGAGACGATTACTGTTCACATCGCGTTAAACGCGATTTCTCTGCATCCACAAGTCCCTCTGAAATGCTCGAAAAATCAGTAACATAAAGCAGCATGATCCACCGCAGGCAAATCAGAATCCAAAGACACCCTGAGGGCAAAACAACGCAGTGATCCGTCTACACCAGAAAACACAGCGAGCAACGGGGGGAGGGTCGATGGAAGAAGCTCGCGGTGGATCATGTCATCGACAAAACGCTCGGCCGGCGTTTTACAAAGTACAAGGTTCGGTCACGTTCGCCGCAGGTGCTACACAGAAGGCAGTCCGCAGGTAGATACGGTGGCCGCCTGATTGGCCTGCTTCGACCGGGTTCCATCCTACGGGTTTAGCGACGCTAGTGTGTTGAGGGCAAAGAGAGGCGGTCGTTGTTACGTGTCGTTCGCAACGAGACTCGTCTTGGTGCGCGGTTTGCTCTCTTCAGGGCTCGGGCCAGCCAGCGAGTAGGCTGAAGCAAAGGGGAGAGAAAGAAAGAAGGAGGAATGAAGAGCGAGCGGGACCGAGACTAGCTGGCAGAGGGAAAGAGAGAGAGAGACAGAGGGAACAGCCGAGAAAGAGGCCGCTACAGTTGGAGCATAGTAAATCCCGTTGGCCGGTGCCTACCGACGATCAGGCCTGGCGGCGGCTGCACGCGTAGTGTAGACCCGCGAACCTTTGGCAGCGAGCTCTAACTCGTCGTTAGCCCGTTCGCCGTGTGTATTTCCGTTCCGTTACGTTCGCCAATGCGTGTATAGACCCGCGGAGGCTCAAGCCCACCGTTTCGCTACTCGCACGCTAGCCTAGCCGCAGTCGAAACCTCGCCACCACGCGATTCTTCGGCAGCTACAATTCTGCTCCCTCTCGCGCGCGCGTTCCTGGTGATTCTTCTTGTTCCTCTTACCTCCGACTGGTCTGCTCCCTTCGCGAATCGGTATTCCACGTGTGCGGGACTCGGGGTTAGGATTCGATTGGTTTCGAGTTGGGAGTCTAGAGAGGCTTCGGGTACCGGGAACAGGTTGATCAGAAGATTCTCTGTTATCATTGTTGTACTTGCATGTTTGGGGATTGGAGTAATATAGCCTTATAGTATTCCTCCTTTATCTTTGGGTTTCGAGATCCTTCAGACTCGTGAATCGGATTCCGTTAGGATCAATGCGATGCGAGGAGCTAACGGGGTAATCAGATCCAACTCTCGGGTTTCCGTTTGAGCCAATTCCTTCAATTCTGTGGGGTCTCGGTGAGTGTCAGTTGAAAAGGCTCGAGTAACTCAGAGGTCGGGGGCCGTGTGTCGCGTTGCAGTGAGTGCTTAGTAACGAAGTTCGACAATGCTGATCGGGAAGACTGTGCGCGGAGGTTAAGTGATCGAGGAAACGTGAAAAGGAAGTTCGGTTTCGACTGGTTCCTTTGTGTTCGGTTCGAAGGAGGGGACTGGGAGAGACAGAGGAGAAAGAGGGAAAGAGAGACAGTATCCGATGTGTCTGGTCGGGCACGTTGAGATCGACTTGAACGTGCGTTGGATGTTTCAGCAGCTGGAAAACAGGACGGCATGGACTAGCCGCTCGGGTCGTGGAAACCCTTGGAAGGGAAAAGGGCAGCAGCATCCCCTCCCTGCGGCCTGGTACCGTCGCGACGCACGACGACGCGGCACCGTCGCCACACCGCACCGACCTCTTCACCATCGTCTTCTCAGCCGGAAGGTGAGTGCATTGTGATACCGAGTTCACCTTCGCTTTTATCTTTGCCATGGACAGCCGAGCCGAGGCTTATTTACATACCAGCCACTCACTGGCCGAACCTGTCGACTTTTTTTCTTTGACTTTTTAAAGCTTTATCGCCAAGGCAGTAGATTGACTCTTAACTTTGTATATTTTAGAATGAATTTTTTTATTATTGAGTTTGATACCATGAAATAAATATTCTATACAAGAAATGGAATGATGAAGATTACTTCAGGATACTGTTTTAGGCATTTCATAGGTTAAAGCTGCACCTGTGATAATGAAATAGAATACATCTCACTGATGAGTTTTACCTTTTCTTTGGTCGAGTCAAGGATTTGGGCAATGAGTGGCTTGAATATGGAATTATTTAGCGTTGGATAGCGATCCATGAAGCGTTTCAGACTTCTGTCTGCTATGGATGATAGGATTGAATCTAAACTTGACTGAACCAAGATGATCGTTAAGATTGAACCGAGAAATACACTGCGCACGATTGAATCCCAGATTTGTTCGAAGTGTAGATCATTAATTGTTACGAGTTTCTGAGGATCAACTGTAGCGGATAATTCATGCTCGCGTGACAAGCGAATCGAGGATAGCGTCCTTCGAGGCTAGCTTTTTATTAAACAAATGTGAGAACTAGCGAGTGAGAGTTAGATTTCGGTTCGAATCTAGGTCAGGACAGTTTAGACTTCCTTTTCCCGATAGGAAAAGAGGATTTCTAATAGCAACTGTTGCTCGTATCTTTTATGACGTGAAATGAGCATGCACTGTCGCTTTCTCTTTGGAAGGATATAGAGCAGTTCGGAACGCGAAAGTTTTTGGAAAACTGAGACCGCGGTTTCTTAGATCTGAAATGTGAGAGTCGATTCCGATCATTATACAAATATTTCCCAAGGAATGTTCGATACTCAAGAATCGTTGGTAGCACCCTGTCTTCCGGTCTCCATGACCAAACGTTGAACATAGGGCTATTCCTTGAGTAACTTAAGTAGAGAAAGTACACAGTGGCCAGACAAAGAAATCAACTGAAAATCCTACACACTGTTCACACTTTCTTTCGTACCGACTCGATGGAAATGCTGCAACATCCTCAAAATCCGACGCTAATTTAACGAAACCTCTGTAACTCGACGGTGTTCGCTTTCCGTAACGAATCGACTCAATTATTATTACACACTCCGAAGGATTCCCTGGATCCGGAAGTAGTAAATCCCCTAAACCCAGCGACGCGGGCACGTCCCGCGCAAGAAGAAGGAATCCCAGCGTCACGTTTTCACGGGGCGGTCCTCGTAATCCGGAGATTAACGGTCGGCCGCGTCGGTGTCCGCGTCGCCCTTCCCCGGTTTAATGCGAATCCACGACGGGGCTTTTGTTTTATCATCAGCTATCAGCGGCCATATTTCAGGCCACGGTGCCGCGCGGCGTATGATCTTCATTAGGACACTGGAATTCCCGGCACGGAGAGAAAGAGAGAGAGAGAGAGACGAGGCAATTTCATTAAACGGGCCGCGAAAGAAAGCTTCTCCCCGCGCGTCGGGGAACCATCAACGCGCGCGAGCGACTTCGTTTTCTCTCCGGTCCCCTTCGTTTTACGATCACTCGATGGTTACGCGCATGTTTCACCATTATTTCGTCCGGCTAGGTTTCTATGTGTCCTCCAAGCCGCACGCGTGCCCCTCGCCGGGGACCCAGTTGTAAAAGGCCAGCGAATAACGCCCGCTATCTAAATTACGCGCGACTGATTGCACGCTGGGGCATACTAGCTGGTTGCGCGGTGATTATTCGAACTGGTGATACCGGGTTTCTTGGTCAGTCGGTGGCTCGGTCGGCTGGCTGGATGAATTCTATGGTTTCGAGGACAATGGATGCTTTCGTTGGTTCTTGAGATTGGAGGACCCGTTGTTCCCTGTTAATAACTGTTCGAGCAGCGAGAATTAATAGCGATCATTGACTGCATGGAAAATGATGCTCTCTTGTTGATCTTGTAGACAAGATTGTTCTTCGCAACGATTAACCTTTAAACTTAACATTGACTGCACGCTATGCGGTCGGAGTAGGCACTTTATGAGAGGACATTTGTAGACTCAAATGCTTCTAACCGCGTCTTCAAACCTCGGGGCTCAACAATAACCGACGATAATAGACACACAAATTACTGAAACCGAGAGTGCAGCTTCTTCGCTGTCACTTCTGTGTCGCATAAGATTCCCCCTCCTCTAGACGAAGATTTGTGGAATGAGCTTCGAGAATCCTTTGCACGCTACAGATTATCCACATCGGAAGATCCCTAAGGCAATTTTCTAGCTTTTCCCCTGTTCATCCACTCGAAAGTGGAACTAGCAGGTTCACGTGGACGTGGCAGTGGAAGCCAGGTCTCGCAACATCTTGTCGCGGGTGCTGTTGAACCCGCGCGGCGGAGCCCGACCTGCCGTTGGCGTCCATGGGATGGTAGCGGCGGCGTTGGCTCTCGACCGGTCTTCTCGCGTGGGGATAAAGACGCAAAGCGACGACGCTGCAGCCGGCCGGTGGAATAAATAAAATTCAGAATTTATGGAAAACGAGGGGCGAAAGGTGGACGTTGGCAACCGGCGTGCACGCGAGAGAGGGAGCAGAGGAGAAAGAGAAACGGAGGGAGCGATGTAGCCGTTGCCGGCCGAGCCGGGTAGCAATCCCTCGGTCAGCGCTAGAGAAGCTCCCCGATGAATTTGAATAAAAATGGGACGCAGAAAGAGGCGGAATGGCCGAAGGGGGAACGGAGAAACACAGAGAGGAGCCACGCTGGCCGTGTATAGAACAGGGGTGGTCGAATGGGTAGGCGGTTATGGCGCGTCGCGTTTCTGCTCGCACGGGAAAAATGGATACTCTGATACGTCGGTGTGCGCGGCGTCCCCCATATACGACTAACATGTTTTTACAACGTCGGTTTATGTTGTCGTGTTGAAAAGACTGATCGGTAGGACGAAGTCACTCGTCTTCCATCCCCCTGTCGACCATTGGTTCCTTTTTTCGCGATGTTTGAAATATGCACTTCGACGGAAGATACTGATTTCGGGGAAGAATGAGGGCTGAAATGAAGAAGTGGTAGAGTAAGGGTAATGGCTAGAGGAATTTGTATTTTTGGAGACTTCTTTGTGATCATTGAAGTTTTTGGATTTCTTGGTAGATTCATCGAGGTTTGAAATCAGCTTGTTGGGTATTGTAGAAAGATTTTGTTACGCTTTATTTATGGGTAGCAGTGGGATTTTGAAAAGTGTACAATTGTGTTTCGTATGTTTCTAGTGTTTCTGTGCGTCGATTTGATATCGTTACGTCGGGTATATCTTCATTTCCTCTGGAGAACGGTTTGCAAAACATCGGTGTGAACGGTTCGCGTAGAAAGTCAGCGTTGAAAAAGAAAATTAGTCATGGAATGCCCTAATAGATACGGCGGTGTACAGTGATAATGGATACACACAGCGAACGGGAATCGTAGAATTGTTTTTTACAGAATCGCTCGAAATTGGATCACAGAAGCCGCAGTTCCAATGGTATTAATTATATTTCCAGGCCTCTCTCGATTCCGCAGTTCCTCGCCGGATCAATGAACAATATCTCGTGCAGCGATCGCGGCGGTCTCGCTCTAATTAATAGCACGCAATAAACGCGATTCGATTTTCTATAAATTTCCGCTGCCACACCGTGTGAAAGAATACGCGACCGTCGGTCTCGGAATTCCGTTCTTTCGAAACTCCTCCAATTTCCTTCGACGTTATACGATCCTTATTCGGAGCCGACCATAAATCTGATCACGATTTGGCGCAGCTCTAGATTCGATTTAATTAATAGCGACTCGTATACGTACTGGCATATTTCCACGCTGTTCAACCCTTTACTTTAAACGCATTCACACGATACCCTCTTCTATCCATTAAACATCCAAATACTACATAAAGAAACCTTTTATTTTGTCAACAATTTATTCCAAAAACCTTGCAATAAAAATATAAATAACATTTTTCAAATATTTCAATGCAACAACGTCTCTCGACGTTTTATTTTTCAAGTATTGCTACCAGAAAATATTAGGGAATATTTTATTCAACAAACATTTGACCGATACTAATTGATCAGAATTTCTGTTCGTCGATCCGTTTGATCACGCCTACGGGTTCAAGCGCCCCGAGAATTCACAAAGATGGAAACGCTCCTCGGGAGGAAAAGCATGGCCGCCGTCGGACGATGGCGCTCTCCCGCTTTCGATTCACGGCTGTCGGGCTCTCCTTCTGCCCGTTCCTTTCACCCGGTATCCCCACTTCGAGGAATCACGTTTCGGTTCGCAGGGAATCCAGAACCCAGCCCAAGCCCAACCTAACCTCTACCGCCGGCCAGGCCGTGTTTCTAAACCGCGCGTTCGACTTCCGAGGAATTTCTTGATTGCCACCGATTTTTTTCGACGTGTCAGGTCCTCGAATAGAAATTGGCCGTTCGCTACCCAAGGTGCATGGAAGGGCTCGCTTTTCGAGGCTGATGAGGACCAATAAACCCCTGCAATTCTGTAGCAGCCACTCGCAACGAGTAATAATCCGCTAGATGTTCTCTTTCGATAGAAACTTCCTCAAAACTGTTCAACGTATTCGTTATAAAACACTGACAATTCATGCAGTTCTTTCTTTTCCAAACTTGTTTCTCGCAGTCTGAGTGAGTATTAAAAAATCTGGATATTTAAAACATAGGATTATAATTTTCATTAGAAAATCCAGTTATTAAGAGTGCCATCTTCACCAGAATAAAATGAATTCTGCAGTAGCGGATGTCAACAAAGTATCATTTTTAAAATACAAATAATGTTATCAAAATTTGCAAATCCCCAGTCTTCCCACTACCGAACATTATCAGTAGCAATGCCTTGAACACAAAGACTAATGAAAAATTAGCACTCGGTCGATCCCAGTGCTCCGGGCTCATTAAATCGAGCCGGGCGCAACCGTGGAAAA